CATCTATTCTGAATCCATACAGTAATTAAAACTGACCATATTTTTCAATCTTTAATCTTGTTTCTTTCCACATGATGACCCGTTAATTGTCATCATATATAGATATTTTGAAGTGGATGCCGCTTGGTACGAAACTCGGTGTGTGTGTTGGTACGAAACTATGTGTGGTTTGGTACGAAACTATGTGTGTGTGTTGGTACGAAACTATGGCTGTGCCTGGTACGAAACTATGTGTGTGTGTTTTACGAAACTTGTGTATTGCTATGTGTGCTTTTGGTCCTGAAACTATGTGAAACTATGTGTGTGTGTTGGAACGAAACTATGTGTGTGTGTTGGTACGAATGTGTGTGTTGGTACGAAACTATGTGAAACTATGTGTGTGTTGGTACGAAACTATGTTTGTGTGTGTGTTGGTACGAAACTATGTGTGTGTGTTGGTGTGTGTGTTGGTATGTTGGTACAGAAGCTATGTGTGTGTGTTTATGTGTGTGTGTTGGTAATGAAACTATGTGTGTGTGTGTGTTGGTACGAAACTATGTGTGTGTGTGTGTATTGTGGGACTATGTGTGTGTGAAACTATGTGTGTGTGTTGGCCCTGTGAAACTATGTTGTGACGACTATGTGTGTGTGTGTTGGAAACTATGTGTGTGTGTGTGTGTGTGTGTGTGTGTTTGTGTGTGTTGGTACGAACCTATGTGTGTGTGTTGGTACGAAACTGTGTGTGTGGTATATGTGTGTGTGTGTGTGTGTGTGTTGGTAGTATGTGTGTGTGGTGGTTATATAGCCGCAAATTTTGTTACATAAGTGACGCGTAAGCGCGTGGTGTAGGGATACATTCAAATGTTTTGGTGAATCGGTTTTCCGAAACAGAAACATTCCCGGCAAAAGTTACGGTTGCGTGAACATGGAATGTGGCTCTCCCGGCTATGCTGTCAAAACATGCTTAGTGATTCAAACGCGTTACCGTATTTAACAAAACAAGACATGTTTCCTCATAATTTTATTACGAGCGTCAGTGAGAGACTGCTCACGCTGAAATAGCTTTACTATCTTGTAAATGTTAGGGTGGCACTTCTGGAGAAGTCTCTTTACCTTATTGAGCCATCCTTTTAGTTTATTGTTAGATTAATCAGTTAGATTAATCTTAATCTAGGGAAAGTCTTTTTCCGGTATTGCGATGTCATTGAACGTGTTCATTTTAAATTCCTTAAATTAGCTACCGGTCTTAGGTAAAACACCCTGAACTTTATGGTTTATGGAGAACCTGCGAGACAACTTATTCAGCTCCAAATCTCTAAACGATTAATTACTTATTGGTGCAAATTGAAATTTTCTCATCCAACAAAACAGCAGCTTTCATTCTAGATTATATTATGGATGATGCCCTCTGGCTAAATCATGTGAAACATATATACTCATGCCAATAATGGTTGTCACCCCCTTCAATTTTTTTAATTGGAGAGGGGGTGGGGAGTGGGGGTTGAGGTGTGTTGGGTTGGGTGGGGGGGGGTGACAACCATTATTGGCATGAGTATATTTTGTAAATGCGGCTGTATTTGAAAACCCTTTCATTATACTCAATCCTGGATCATATCAAAATCTGAATCAATCCTGAAAGACCAGTTTTTACAATCGTGGACCAGTGAGTAGGATATATTATTAGTGTCTTGTGAAAACAATATTATACAATGTGATTTAGAGTCTTAAATAGGGATAGTCTTTTACCGGCATTGCTAAACACCACGCTTGTGAGTAAGAAGATTATTCGTTTCTTGTGAAAGCAATATTATACATGGGGACGCTCTTTTACCGGTTACGGTAATCCAATAATTAATTAATCTATTGGAAATGTGGCTTTATCGGCAAGAGCCATGTAACTGAAACGTGGCCTTCCCGGCAACAGCTACTATTCAATTTTTAAATGTGGCTTTCCCGGCCTGTCGACCCCAGGCAACTGATGCAACTGCTGCTACTATACAATACGGTTGCTGATCTTACTGCTGCTACTATACACTACGGTTGATGATGCTACTGCTGCTACTATACACTACGGTTTGATGATGCTACTGCTGCTACTATACACTACGGTTGATGATGCTACTGCTGCTACTATACACTACGGTTTGATGATGCTACTGCTGCTACTATACACTACGGTTTGCTGATGCTACTGCTGCTACTATACACTACGGTTTGATGATGCTACTGCTGCTACTATACACTACGGTTTGATGATGCTACTGCTGCTACTATACTACTACTACGGTTTGATGATGCTACTGCTGCTACTATACACTACGGTTGATGATGCTACTGCTGCTACTATACACTACGGTTTGACGGTTTGATGATGCTACTGCTGCTACTATACACTACGGTTGCTGATGCTGCTACTATACACTACGGATGATACTGCTGCTACTATACACTACGGTTGATGATGCTACTGCTGCTACTATACACTACGGTTGATGATGCTACTGCTGCTACTATACACTACGGTTTGATGATGCTACTGCTGCTACTATACACTACGGTTGATGATGCTACTGCTGCTACTATACACTACGGTTTGATGATGCTACTGCTGCTACTATACACTACGGTTGCTTGCTGCTGCTACTTTAATACATTGCTGATGCTACTGCTGCTACTATACACTACGGTTGCTGATGCTACTGCTGCTACTATACACTACGGTTGATGATGCTACTGCTGCTACTATACACTACGGTTGATGATGCTACTGCTGCTACTATACACTACGGTTTGATGATGCTACTGCTGCTACTATACACTACGGTTTGATGATGCTACTGCTGCTACTATACACTACGGTTGATGATGCTACTGCTGCTACTATACACTACGGTTGATGATGCTACTGCTGCTACTATACACTACTACTGCTGCTACTATACACTACGGTTTTGATGATGCTACTGCTGCTACTATACTACTACGGTTGTTGATGATGCTACTGCTGCTACTATACACTACGGTTTGATGATGCTACTGCTGCTACTATACTATACACTACGGTTGATGATGCTACTGCTGCTACTATACACTACGGTTGCTGATGCTACTGCTGCTACTATACACTACGGTTGATGATGCTACTGCTGCTACTATACACTACGGTTGATGATGCTACTGCTGCTACTATACACTACGGTTTGATGATGCTACTGCTGCTACTATACACTACGGTTGATGATGCTACTGCTGCTACTATACACTACGGTTTGATGATGATGCTGATGATGCTGCTGCTGCTATACACTACGGTTGCTGATGCTACTGCTATACGGTTGCTGATGCTACACTACTATACACTACGGTTGATGCTACTGCTGCTGCTACTATACATACACTACGGTTGATGATGCTACTGCTGCTGCTACTATACACTACGGTTTGATGATGCTACTGCTGCTACTATACACTACGGCTACTATTTGATGATTACTGCTGCTACTATACACTACGGTTGATGCTACATGCCATTTGATGCTACTGCTGCTACTACCACTACGCTACACTACGGTTGATGATGCTACTGCTGCTACTATACACTACGGTTGATGATGCTACTGCTGCTACTATACACTACGGTTGATGATGCTACTGCTGCTACTATACACTACGGTTGCTGATGCTACTGCTGCTACTGTTGCTATACACTACGGTTGATGATGATGCTACTGCTGCTACCTATACACTACATTGCTGATGCCACTGCTGCTACTATACACTACGGTTGATGATGCTACTGCTGCTACTATACGGTGCTGATGATGCTACTGCTGCTACTATACACTACGGTTGATGATGCTACTGCTGCTACTATACACTACGGTTTGATGCTGCGATGCTGCTGCTGCTACTATACACTACGGTTGCTGATGCTACTGCTGCTACTACGGTTTGCACTACGGTTTGATGATGCTACTGCTGCTACTATACACTACGGTTGATGATGCTACTGCTGCTACTATACAATACGGTTGCTGGTGCTACTGCTGCTACTATACACTACGGTTGATGATAGTACTGCTGCTACTATACACTACGGTTGATGATGCTACTGCTGCTACTATACACTACGGTTTGATGATGCTACTGCTGCTACTATACACTACGGTTTGATGATGCTACTGCTGCTACTATACAATACGGTTGATGATAGTACTGCTGCTACTATACACTACGGTTGATGATGCTACTGCTGCTACTATACACTACGGTTGCTGATGCTACTGCTGCTACTATACACTACGGTTGATGATAGTACTGCTGCTACTATACACTACGGTTGATGATAGTACTGCTGCTACTATACACTACGGTTGATGATGCTACTGCTGCTACTATACACTACGGTTTGATGATGCTACTGCTGCTACTATACACTACGGTTGATGATGCTACTGCTGCTACTATACACTACGGTTGATGATGCTACTGCTGCTACTATACACTACGGTTTGATGATGCTACTGCTGCTACTATACACTACGGTTGCTGATGCTACTGCTGCTACTATACACTACGGTTGATGATGAGTACTGCTGCTACTATACACTACGGTTGATGATAGTACTGCTGCTACTATACACTACGGTTGATGATGCTACTGCTGCTACTATACACTACGGTTTGATGATGCTACTGCTGCTACTATACACTACGGTTGCTGATACTGCTTGCTGCTGCTATACTATAATACGGTTGCTGATAGTGCTAATGCTACTGCAGCTACTCTACTATGATGATGTTACCCCGCTACTACACTACGGTTTGTATGTTACAACACACTATATGTCTGATGATGTTGCTGCTGTTGCTAAACACATTGTGCGATCTACACTTGTTACAACACATTGTATCTTTATCTCCGTTCTTCCCGCAGATGAGTCACTCTCCACGATGACATCTGTACTACTGATGTCGCCTTGCCCAGCCTGGGAGAGGACAGCGAAGCCGGGAGCCTACCTCAGCCTGCATGTCCTCCTGGCTGGGAGTAGAGACCATATAATAAGGCTAGGATGTACGTTACCTCACCCCTACAGCTGAGAACACTATGAAGAATGTCTTCACGCTGACCCTACATTGACACGAGTCTGTGCGTAGACATGACGTATGTTTTTGTCGCCAGTTATTGCAGAGCGCGAGTTCCCCGCTGTTTCCTGCGGCTAATCTCGCCATTTCAAGCACACCAAACGTACAACTGGACGTAAACAGCGATACAAGGCTCCTCTCATTATAGCTGCACACACCAGGGCCCCAATAACACCACCTCAGCCCTTACTCTGGATAAACTTCGGAATCCGTCAAGGTTAGTGGCTCGACAATAATACAAGCAGACATAATTATCACCTATTTGGTGACGGTGAACATACATATCCTCATCATCTGGCCTTAGATTCATGTGATTTGCCCGGAACATGGATATGTAGTAGAATATATCCTGGGGTTCTCTTCCTACCTCGGTCATAGAGGGAGCAAGCTGTTTGCTGTTGGGGGTGGTGATGCACGGTGAGTACCTTCTTCAAATTAACGTGTCACAGGTTTTCCTCAAAACACATTTATGTAAAATAATGAACATTTTGTTCAACGGAGGATGAAGAAATATTACGATTTATCATAATATTTCGAGAAGACGACGGGTCACCTTGTATCTGAATTGTAATAGATTGATGGGGTTTGGCAATTGGACTTTGATATTATCATTTTATGTATTTTCTGATCGGATTCTGAATCATTGTGACACAAACTGAGCAATGTTCCAGCTCTGTGACAGAGACATAATTGTAAACGACTAGGGGCTATGATGGTTATACACAGATTTGTATCGATTTTTGAGCTGGACGTCAAACAGTCTGGTGGATACTAAGAGAGTCAGTGTCATTAACAGCACTAACACCAACTCGTGCTCCGATGTATAGAAAGGACGCCGATCTCCTGTTACCCGTTGATTATTGAAGGGGATAATATTTCATACCACATGCTACAGATCATCTTGATTCACAGGAAATCTGATAATGCTGTGGACACCTCAAATTTGCAACCTGAACAGCAAATGAAACTATACCTCTCAGCTGATTTTGTTATATATTATTATTATTATTATTATAGGATACTTATATAGCGCACATATCCAGGCAACTAGTGCTTGCTCAAGGCGCTGATATTTTTTCCCTCGATCATTGGATGTCAATCTCAATGGCACATCGTATTATCAATCTCAACTCCCTGAGGAGTGTATCCGATTCTCAGATGAACGGCTCTTGAGAAACAGGTATCTTATGAAAAAACTGAACTGTACTAGCGCTAAGTCAACACTCAAAGAATACTAAAACGGATTATGTAATATAATTTGGTATATAATACTAAAATCGAAGCTGAAACAAGTTGTATTGACTGACGCCGTTATTGTAATAGGCGTTTCTTTGTGGGTGCTATCACCCTTATCAAGCAAGTGATAACATTATGCACAAGGAAAATATAGATACATGGATGGTAATTTAGTTGAGGATTGATGTACAGTGTGATGCCAATGCTGATAGTTATAGGGGGCCGTGGGGTAGCCTAGTGGTCAAAGCGTTGGCTCCTCACGCCGAAGACCCGGGTTCGAATCCTCACATGGGTACAATGTGCGAAGCCCATTTCTGGTGTCCCCCGCCGTGATGTTGCTGGAATATTGCTAAAAGTGGCGTAAAACCAAACTCAGTCAGTCAGTGATAGTTATAGTTTTTGTAGATAATAGGTGTGAAGCAAGATTGACAAGGGGGTGGTTACCGTTGATTGGCCTTGATGAGATGATGGTAACTCAAGAATGTAATAACCTTGATCTCTGTTGATGGTCGGGTTGAGTTGCTTGAGTTGTTTGATGTTGATTGCCTCTATGGCATTGCTGATCTTGTAGACTGACCGGTAAGCTTCAAGGATGTAGATGTTGTCCAGAGAATAATATGATTAGGATGTTACTTGGGTGTGTTCGGAGATGGCTGATTGACAGTCTTTGTTTCTGCACGGATGTCTGATATTTCTTGATGATCATGGTCAGGGGGCGGGTTCACTTACGTTGTGAATCCATAAAACGAGTTTCCCCTTTGTCAAACCAGCTTCTAAATCGCAACATTTGAAAGCCTCCTGATCCCAACTGCTGATGGATCCAATTAGACATCTTACCTCATAAAATCAATATAGTTGCATTTTCGCCTCAAATGTATTACATTTCAAAAACAGTAGGCGTCAGATGGGTATAGTTTCATCTGTCCTTTTTAAACCAATGCATTTTCACAATTTACCCAACCATATATTACTTTCTATAAACTGTTGCAGGAATGAGTGATGTAAAACATACATAATCATAATTAAGAACAGTTGTTTCAATTTTCATTACATAAAAATCCAACTCGGCACACCTTCATTTGGCCAAGTGAGCATAGTGCTGCACTGGTGTAAACCTCACTCACTCATTCACTCCCACTCTGACGCTGATGTCAACCAATCTCTTGTTCTATATGCCCACGTCATTGCAGGAACTGATAATTGGTGTTTAAGGAATCAGTGTTAAACTGTAACCAATGCATTAACACATATGACATAATATACAAATATGTCGATAATATCAATTACTCTCTACTGATAATTAACTGATTAATTTACATCACGAAGGCGCATTTGTACAAATCTATATTTTTGAGACAGCTTTTGAAAACAATGTTGAGAAATACCAGAATAGGCAGTTTCCAGTGACGCATGTCAAATGGTTACCTCATATTCTCCTTGCACTAGACATTTTAACATAGTTATGTCTACAAAAACAACTAAATATGAAAACACCAGTAGCTTGTCATGATTGTATCTTAAGGGTAAAAGTTTGTTGTTTAACGCCAGACTAAGCAATGTTCCTGCTACGTGACGGCCGTCGGTAATCGAGTCTGGACCAGACCAGACAATCCAGTGATTCACATCTTGACAGTTGGGATATGATGAAATGATCCATACATTAGCAAAGTCAGCCAGCCTGACGCTCCTTTTTAGTTAGTCACCTTTACGACAAGAAAGGGTGGCTGAAGATCAACTCTAACCCGGATCTTCACGGGTGCAAAGTTGTAGATACCTATAGTTTGTGTGAAATACATGTCCGTCATAACACTTCATTTTACTATCAATTGAAAAAAAACCCATTGGCCAGCTATAGATTTTGCTGAGAGACCAGAAACTCCTCTATTTTTCTAATTGCTACTTCATTATTTCAAGACTGACGTGTATACAATACAGGGCGAAGAGGCTGGAAGACAACGACGTGTTGATGTAACGTGAAACCTGAAATCGATACACATCTGAACGTGGGCACATCTCATCATTACATTGAAATATGGAATACGCCAAACTCTTCAGGAAAACTGACATTTTATCAAATGATGTTGCCAAGAAGGCAGAAGAAGAGTTAAATGAGACTCCTGAGAGAAGAGCGACATCTATTCAAGAGTTACGGGACTTGCTCGACAGTGGCCTGTGTTCCGATTGTTACAGGGATCAACAGATATCCGAACACTTCTGTGGCACATCCGACCTGTTCCTCTGTGGGTTCCTCAGAGCCAAGAAATATGATGTCCAGAAAGCCTACGAACTGTTGGACTGTAAGTACTAGTACATATCATAGGGCAGAACTATGTGTATTTGCCGTCAGTAAGTATAAGAACGCAGAACCAAAACTTTCTCAACAAGATATTTAAACAGTAGCTATAACGAGTGACGGGGAACGACTGATTATCTTTCCCGAGTTATATTAATGACATAATTAATATAACGAGGGAAAGATAATCTGACATTCCCCGTCATGAGTTGGTTATTGCTTTCATTACCCATATCAGTTTTAGATCTAAAAACGTTAAAATGAAAATAGCATTTTCTATAAGGAAACCTGCCATGTGGGGAATACCCGTATCCCTACGCGTTGATTGGCTGTTTTATTTTCTGAAACAGCCAATCAACGTTTACCAAAAGGTGTAACTTCCCTAGGGACTTACAGGAAAAACACTACCTTGTATCCTCCTTTACCATACCTTACCACGAGTAATGAAACACATTTACAAACTTGCTGCTTCCGTTCATGGCATAATTTATCTTACAAGCCTTAGCTCAATGAATAGCCTTGCCGTGACAATCACGCATGCGTAAGAAAGACCAAACAGGAGTGGGTCCCAACTCGATCAAAGGACCAGTTGGTATGGCCAGAGCTTGAATGGGTGACCACCAACGTATATAACTATGTGACAGGGCTTCTTGGAAGGTGACCACAACACTGACTACATATATGTCTCTAGCAGTAATGCTTGATCATAATACCCACTCCAAGCACGCGTCCGTAGTTTCAATAAACTTTGTTCTCTTACTCAATTTGAAGGTAAGCAGTTGGCTGTCCCCCAAGCACCCTTTGCTCAAAATGACAGTGACTAGTGGCTGACATAATCTTTATCTTTCTTTCAGCTTATCTTAAATTCAGAGAGAGGTATCCGGATCTGACGTCAGAGCTCAGCATCGATTCCGTGAGACCAGCTTTAGAAAGGGGCTACCCCAGGGTCCTTCCTGCCAGGGATAATGAGGTGAAATACTAATTGGAGGAGTATTAGGTTTCTGGCAAATTGTTGTTCTAGCAGATTCAAGTCGGGGCGGTGGGGTGGCCTAGTGGTTATAGGGTCTGCTCGTCATGCTGAAGACCGGGTTCGGTTCCCCACATGGGTTCAATGTGTGATGCCCATATCTGGTATCCCCCGCCGCGATATTGTTGAAATATTGCTTAAAGCGGCGTAAAACCATACTCACTCATTTAAGTCGTATTAAGAACACATTGTGCAATAAATACAGGATATATAGACTTGGCATACTCGACCCCTTGATGTGAGTGAATCTAAACCGTCGGGCAACTGAAAGTATACACTCATCATGAGGGCTGCAGTAGGAGACAACATGACCAGCAATGGCTGTTCGATTGTGATGTATTTGATACGGATATCATCTCTGTGTGCTGAACCTTACATTGCAGTATTTCGACAAATGGTTTTCAGCCAAGTAACATTTTGATAGCGTTGGTAATTTTCCGGTCAACCCAATCAACCAGTTTATTGCATGAAGGCCATAGGTCTATATACAAAATACATATGCATAATATGTACAACATATACAACATACGACACACGCGTTTCACTGAATTGAAGTGAGTGAGTGAGTTTGGTTTTACGCCGCTTTTAGCAATATTCCAGTAATATCACGGCGGGGGACACCAGAAATTGGCCAATGAATTGAAGTAACATTTGATAGCGTTGGTAATTTTCCGGTCAACCCAATCAACCAGTTTATTGCATGAAGGCCATAGGTCTATATACAAAATACATATGCATAATATGTACAACATATACAACATACGACACACACGTTTCAATGAATTGAAGTGAGTGAGTGAGTGAGTTTGGTTTTACGCCGCTTTTAGCAATATTCCAGTAATATTACGGCTGGGGACACCAGAAATGGGCCAATGAATTGAAGTAACATTTGATAGCGTTGGTTATTTTCCGGTCAACCCAATCAACCAGTTTATTGCATGAAGGCCATAGGTCTATATACAAAATACATATGCATAATATGTACAACATATACAACATACGACACACGCGTTTCACTGAATTGAAGTGAGTGAGTGAGTTTGGTTTTACGCCGCTTTTAGCAATATTCCAGTAATATCACGGCGGGGGACACCAGAAATTGGCCAATGAATTGAAGTAACATTTGATAGCGTTGGTAATTTTCCGGTCAACCCAATCAACCAGTTTATTGCATGAAGGCCATAGGTCTATATACAAAATACATATGCATAATATGTACAACATATACAACATGCGACACACACGTTTCAATGAATTGAAGTGAGTGAGTGAGTGAGTGAGTTTGGTTTTACGCCGCTTTTAGCAATATTCCAGTAATATTACGGCTGGGGACACCAGAAATGGGCCAATGAATTGAAGTAACATTTGATAGCGTTGGTTATTTTCCGGTCAACCCAATCAACCAGTTTATTGCATGAAGGCCATAGGTCTATATACAAAATACATATGCATAATATGTACAACATATACAACATACGACACACGCGTTTCAATGAATTGAAGTGAGTGAGTGAGTTTGGTTTTACGCCGCTTTTAGCAATATTCCAGCAATATTACGGCTGGGGACACCAGAAATGGGCCAATGAATTGAAGTAACATTTGATAGCGTTGGTTATTTTCCGGTCAACCCAATCAACCAGTTTATTGCATGAAGGCCATAGGTCTATATACAAAATACATATGCATAACATATACAACATACGACACACACGTTTCACATGAATTGAAGTAACATTTGATAGCGTTGGTAAATTTCCGGTCAACCCAGTTCTCAAGCACATGCATATACTTTCGTTGCCTGGCAGTTTAGTTAAACACGTGAATTTTTAACGTTGATGGCAATACTTATGACAACCAACTTCTGAAAACAATGTCTACAGTGACCAGACCATACAACGACTGTCGTAGTGGTAAATATGCGGCTTTGAAGTCATGTAGAAGAAGAAGAAGAGCTTTATTCAGTATTTATGGCCACATGACCAAAAGTACAATTCAATAAGCAAAATATAGTACATGGTCAGGCGAACAATTTACAATTTATACAGGTAAATATAGTTTAAGATAAATTGCAATATTTTTTAGGAGTTTTACATTCTTTGTTGCAAGCAGCTGAGTAAACTTTGATCTGGTTGGAGATATAATATAGAAATCAGGAATGTACAAAGAGCGTTGTTGTGAATAAAATGGACATATGAGTAAGAAATGATACTCATCTTGTGTCAAATTACAATTACATTTGTCACATTTAATGGAATCAGCATTTACCTTATTGAAACGGTTGTGTTGAATTTTAAGTTTATGACTCATGCATCTGAATTTAATTAGAGCTCGTAAGAGATCTTTATCATAGCAAAACTCTGATATATATTTTTCGGTTCATGTAAGTACTTTGTGACACGTATTGTCATTTTGTGAATTGCAGGGTAGAATAGTGTTCCTGTTCTCCATCGGGTCATGGGATGCTACGGAAGTGCCGTTCGATGATGTGTTACGGGCGTACATCTACCTGCTGGAGGCCCTACTGGAGAACGCGGAGAACCAGGTGTCTGGGTTCGTCATCGTGGAAAACTTCCAGCAGTATACCATCAGCCAGGCCATGTCTCTCAAACCCTCGGACCTGCAGAAGATGGTCAGCATGCTTCAGGTGAAGTCATGACCACTTAACATTTTCTGGACCTGGGATGTTTGTTTGAGAATGTTATTTTCAGTGAGTGAATGAGTGGGTGAGTGAGTATTAGTTTACGCCGCTTTTAGCAATATTCCAGCAATATCACGGCCGGGGACACCAGAAATGGGCTTCACGCATTGTACCCATGTGGGGAATCGAACCCGGGTCTGACGAGCGAACGCTTTAAGCACTGGGCTACCCCACCGCCCCGTCACGATGAGTGAGTGAGTGAGCTTTTACAGTGAGTGAGCTGTGTTTTACGCCGCTTTTAGCAATATTCCAGCAATATCACGGCGGTGAACACCAGAAATAGGCTTCACACATTGTACCCATGTAAGCAATCGAACCCGGGTTTTCAGCGCTGACAAGGGGGCGGTGGGGTAGCCTAGTGGTTAAAGCGTTCGCTCGTCACGCCGAAGACCCGGGCACGAATCCCTACATGGGTACATTGTGTGAAGTTCATTTCTGGTGTCCCCCGCCGTGATGTTGCTGGAATATTGCTAAAAGCGGCGTAAAACCAAACTCCTCACTCACTCACTCAGCGTGACGAGCGAACGCTTTAACCACTAGGCTACCTCGCCGCCGCCTCTGAGGTTCTACGCTGCTCTTAAAAACGTTCTAGCAACATCAACTTGGGGGACTTCACACATAGCACCAATTTTGGGAAACTGGGTCACGTGTCTGAACATTTTAACCACAAGTCTATCCCACTGTTCATTTTGATGACTTCAAGGGGTAAAACACATCTGGTTGAACCTACAACAAATTATTTTCAGAACATCCAACATTTCATATTCTGTAAATCCTGCCTTAGGGGTGGCGGGGTTTGCGTTCACCCGAATGAGAATGAAAAGAAACTGTGCAATGATACATAAGCCGTGGTAAATAAGTTTATAATGTCACGACCGTAAGTGAAGCAGATATAAGAGGTTTACAATGAACCAAAGGCCATAATCGGAGCTAATGCTCGAGTCACGACCATTGGGTCCTGGTATGCCAAAGAAAGGCAACTCTTTGCAGAACATCATAATAATGCATCATGCTTTTATTAACCTCATGGTTTAACGTTGCATCTATTGTCTTTGCAGGGTGCATTCCCAATACGGTTCAAAGGTGTTCACTTTTTGTATCAACCCTGGTATTTTTCATGGACATACGCACTCGTTCGACCCTTCATGAAAACCAAGATGACTGAAAGGGTATTTAATGCAACTTTTTTGCTTAACGTTAATGTCATAAATGTGATATGTGATTCTTGAACTTTCTAAAAGGGACGCATGCAAATATTTTATCCTTACCGAGTAACATGTGAAAACTGACGTATTGAAACGGCGATGATATGGCTGTGTTTTTACAAGCACTGAAATATATCATTTCTTTCAACAGGTCCACATTCACGGTTCGAACCTCGAAAAGTTTCACCAAGTGTTAGATCCGTGCACTCTACCACCTGACTTTGGAGGTAACGGACCAGAGTTCTCTCCCCTTGAGATGATAACATTGCTGGAGAAAATTGCTGATTTATAGACAATGGTCGAGGCATGACAATGTACAGATATTAAACACAAGTATATTCTTTAAACAAATAAACGCAAAAAATGATTTGATTAACTTTGTCCTTGGCAAAAAATGAGTAAAACGTACAGACGAAGGGTGACAGTTGTTCTAGTTGGATGAGGAACCACCATCACCGATCAAGAAGTGCATGGGGAGTACGGATGACGTCTGCTGGAGTGAGGAGTGAGTGAGTGAGTGAGTGAGTGAGTGAGTGAGTGAGTGAGTGAGTGAGTGAGTGAGTGAGTGAGTGAGTGAGTGAGTGAGTGAGTGAGTGAGTGAGTGAGTGAGTGAGTGAGTGAGTGGGTGAGTGAGTGAGTGGGTGATGGGTGAGTGAGTGAGTGAGTGAGTGAGTGAGTGAGAGTGAGAGTGAGAGTGAGAGTGAGAGTGAGAGTGAGAGTGAGTGTGAGTGAGTGAGTGAATTTGGTTTAACGTCGCTTTTAGCAATATTCCAGCAACATCACGGCGGAGGACACCAGAAATGGGCTTCACACATTGTACCCATGTGGGGAATTGAACCCGGGTCTTCAGCGTGACGAGCGGACGCTTTAACCACTAGACTACCCCACCGCCCCTACGTCTGCTGGAGTTTCCGTAAATGGAATAAGAATCCCGATAAGAACCCCATTCATTCAAATTATTTTCTCATGCCAGAAATAATACGACAGGTTGTCCTTGAAGTTCTGTATGTGTTTAAACGAGCAGGGGCTCGACGGGTTCAATAGTTGTCCTTTCGCACCCTCCACATATGAAAGTCACATGCATGCATCCTTTACGGTTTTTCTGCACTTCGTACACCCTTCAAAAGGAAACAGCCTAACTGTGAAACAGTTTACTCTATTCAGTCAAATGTGCATAAGTTAGTTGATGCATCTGTCGAGTTGAAAACGAAACAAAATCCAGGAAAATAACAGATTAAATAACAACCCAGTATCCATGAACAAGTCTGTAAAAACAGAAATTTGAATATTCTCAAACGTGAAGTTAATGCTATGACATACCCTGAAACAGTTTGTTTGGAGGATTCGTCTTTCATACGTCAGTCCAATCAAGTGATCGCTGAAGAAAATGACTGTCAGCTCACAAAACAATGCAAGTGCGAATAAAAAATAGCTCAAGATCGACTTCACTGTCAGATCGTGAGAAGAAATACTTCAGCTTGCAAACAATAACATCAGTACTTTGCTCGTTTTACCGTTTACAGGACTCGAACCCGCAATCCCCGGCTATCACCAATGTCTTAGTGTAGGAGGCCGGTGCCTTATCCATTGCACTTACCAATTCATTTCAGCTATAGAAAAAGGCAAAGGTGGGTGTCAGTTCTCACAACAGAGTGATATACAACGAATTAAATTACAATAGAGGCGGATTTTGTGATGTTCCAGGCACTAGGGAGGTATAGGTTAGGTCTCTTAATGCCTACAGTGACAAATGCCTACAGGCATTAATAGCTGTTGTTTTAGGTGAGCAGCAGTGATACGCTTCCCTGCACACAAGTGGTCACTTCCGCCCTAATGAGTTTAACCTGTTTACACTATGAAAACTTCCTACAGATTATCTGATCATATCAGCACAAGCAGTGCCTTATGTATCCTTTTTGCTTGTTTTTAATACAATTTGTCTATCTTTCTCAACAGGAACTATATATGTAAAAGCAATTTAATTACTTCTGTTTAGCATGCAACAGATTTTGTACTGAGTAAGTTTGAGAAGGAAACATGTTGAAATAAAATGGGAATTCTGCATAGTTTGGTTCAAATCATGGCGAATCCAAAGAAGGTAGAGTACTACACGTCGCAGAAAGGTGGGCAGCAAGTTTTGTTAGATGGCTACAGGTAAAGGCTGAATAACCGGCGCCTGACATGTGTGCACTGGGGTTAATCTCCTGATGTTGATGGCTTCTAGTATTTTCCGTTTGCGCCAATCGTGAACATTGGTAGCCAAGATGCTAGTCTGTTGCCAGTCAATGGAGTAAGTAACCCCAAAGAATAATAGAGATCAAAGTGTATACCTCCCTAGTGCCTGGAACACCACAAAAGCCGTCTCTATTGTCATTTAATTAGCTGTATATCACTCTGTTGTGTACACATATCCTAATCATCATTGTTTTTATAACTTCTAATTAATCTGTTGTCATTGATTGATTGTATATAGATGTACATCTCTGGCTTCCTGTAAATCTAATTATCACTTCATTAGCTGTATTCACATCTCCTTATCCTCATTGTTTGTGTCAACTGGCTTTACTTTATCCCTATTATCATTGTTTTTATAACTGCTATTCATCGGTCCTCTCATCCATTGTATATACATGTACTTCGCTGGCTTCATGTAAATTCTGGTATATATAGTATGTTTTGTACTCCTGTCTTCATATCACCTGAAGAAGGGGCAAGAAGTAGTCCAGAAACGTCGTGTCATACAATAAAGACGAAGTTGTCATCCATATACTCGTCTTATATATTCATCAACTTCTAAATGCCTCTCACCAATCTCATGCTTGAGGGTTAGTTTTATGATTTGTTTACACTAATGAATGAAAGACAATCCACTTACCAATTCTTTTCAGCTATAGAAAAAGGCAAAGGTGGGTGTCAATTCTCACTATGTGTATTGTTGAAAAACGTAAAAACAAAGAAGAAAACAATTGCAAAAAGAATGCATTACCCACGACGGGACTCGAACCGGCAATCCCCGGCTATCACCAATGTCTTAGTGTAGGAGGCCGGTGCCTTATCCATTGGGCCACCTGGGATTGGTGAAATACAGCCGTTTTCAGGGTAACAGTGTAACACCCAAACTGCTTTAGGGTTTGTGTTTTGATTTGTTTACACTGATCGATGTCTGAAAGGCAATGCACTTACCAATTCATTTCAGCTATAGAAAAAGGCAAAGGTGGGTGTCCATTCTCACTATGTGTATTGTTGAAAAACGTAAAAAAAAGAAGAAAAAAATTGCAAAAAGAATGCTTTACACACGACGGGACTCGAACCCGCAATCCCCGGCTATCACCAATGTCTTAGTTTAGGAGGCCGGTGCCTTATCCATTGGGGCACGTGGGCTTGGTGAAATACTGTCGTTTTCGATCCATGTGATGACAAATGTTTCCAAACAGTGTAACACCCAAACTGCTTGAGGGTTAGTGTTATGATTTGTTTACACTGATCGATGTCTGAAAGGCAATTCACTGACCAATTCATTTCAGCTATAGAAAAAGGCAAAGGTGGGTGTCAATTCTCACTACGTGTATTGTTGAAAAACGTAAAAACAAAGAAGAAAACAATTGCAAAAAGAATGCATTACCCACGACGGGACTCGAACCCGCAATCCCCGGCTATCACCAATGTCTTAGTGTAGGAGGCCGGTGCCTTATCCATTGGGCCACGTGGGCTTGGTGAAATACAGCCGTTTCCAGTGTAACAGTGTAACACCCAAACGTCTTGAGGGTTAGTGTTATGATTTGTTTACACTGATCTATGTCTGAAAGGCAATGCACTTACCAATTCATTTCAGTTATAGAAAAAGGCAAAGGTGGGTGTCAATTCTCACTATGTGTATTGTTGAAAAACGTAAAAACAAAGAAGAAAACAATTGCAAAAAGAATGCATTACCCACGACGGGACTCGAACCCGCAATCCCCGGCTATCACCAATGTCTTAGTGTAGGAGGCCGGTGCCTTATCCATTGGGCCACGTGGGCTTGGTGAAATACTACCGTTTTCGATCCATGTGATGACAAATGTTTTCAAACAGTGTAACACCCAAACTGCTTGAGGGTTAGTGTTATGATTTGTTTACACTGATCGATGTCTGAAAGGCAATGCACTGACCAATTCATTTCAGTTATAGAAAAAGGCAAAGGTGGGTGTCAATTCTCACTATGTGTATTGTTGAAAAACGTAAAAACAAAGAAGAAAACAATTGCAAAAAGAATGCATTACCCACGACGGGACTCGAACCCGCAATCCCCGGCTATCACCAATGTCTTAGTGTAGGAGGCCGGTGCCTTATCCATTGGGCCACGTGGGCTTGGTGAAATACAGCCGTTTCCAGTGTAACAGTGTAACACCCAAACGTCTTGAGGGTTAGTGTTATGATTTGTTTACACTGATCGATGTCTGAAAGGCAATGCACTTACCAATTCATTTCAGTTATAGAAAAAGGCAAAGGTGGGTGTCAATTCTCACTATGTGTATTGTTGAAAAACGTAAAACAAAGAAGAAAACAATTGCAAAAGAATGCATTACCCACGACGGGACTCGAACCCGCAATCCCCGGCAATCACCAATGTCTTAGTGTAGGAGGCCGGTGCCTTATCCATTGGGCCACGTGGGCTTGGTGAAATACAGCCGTTTCGATCCATGTGATGACAAATGTTTTCAATCAGTGTAACACCCAAACTGCTTGAGGGTTAGTGTTATGATTTGTTTACACTGATCAATGTCTGAAAGGCAATGCACTTACCAATTCATTTCAGTTATAGAAAAAGGCAAAGGTGGGTGTCAATTCTCACTATGTGTATTGTTGAAAACGTAAAACAAAGAAGAAAACAATTGCAAAAGAATGCATTACCCACGACGGGACTCGAACCCGCAATCCCCGGCTATCACCAATGTCTTAGTGTAGGAGGCCGGTGCCTTATCCATTGGGCCACGTGGGCTTGGTGAAATACAGCCGTTTTTCCATGTGATGAAAAGTCAAACAGTGTAACACCCAAACTGCTTGAGGGTTAGTGTTATGATTTGTTTACACTGATCGATGTCTGAAAGGCAATGCACTTACCAATTCATTTCAGTTATAGAAAAAGGCAAAGGTGGGTGTCAATTTTCACTATGTGTATTGTTGAAAACGTAAAACAAAGAAGAAAACAATTGCAAAAGAATGCATTACCCACGACGGGACTCGAACCCGCAATCCCCGGCTATCACCAATGTCTTAGTGTAGGAGGCCGGTGCCTTATCCATTGGGCCAGGTGGCATGGTGAAATACTCCCGTTTTCGATCCATGTGATGACAAATGTTTTCAATCAGTGTAACACCCAAACTGCTT